TGTTTTTGATCCGATAATTATATACGCACAATTCTCACACAACCGTTTGACAATTGAAGTGTTTATATCCTTACACTAGACAAGGATGGGTAACCAAAAAAAATTTTTTCACGGACATGCCATCTTTGGGCGAGCAGTACATACAATTTGTGTTTCCGTTCAGACTTTATCATATCATTCAAGAATAGTTTTTCTTTCTTAAAAGACATGACGTCACTCGGAATATTCTAGTATCCAACTCTGAAATTTATAAGATACCATTATAGTCGCTTTGCAGAGCGTCAATGTGTTCTGCCATTTTTTATCAGCAATGCTGGAGGCACAACGAAGCATCACGTTGATTAGGAAATAAATCAAGCTTTGCTTGCACTTCAATATTCACTTTTCGATAAGCACCCAGGATTGGGTTTCTAATCGTATGAAGCATTTGCCATTCCACGGCTATTCTCGAAATATCTAAAACAAAATTCATGCCAAGGTTCAGTTGAAATCATTCTTCTTTATAACCACATCTTACTTATATCATTTGCACAGGAAGTTCCCATGGAAAAGTTTATACACAAAGTCATACAGTGTACTGACCTATAGATAGATGTCCAGCTATGAATTAATTTGCTTGTAGTTTACGCTACTAAGTTCCAAACGGCTTTAATGAATTTTGCATCACCGGATACTTGCAACAAATAATACCTTATCAAGCATTGCAATAACCAAAGCCTTCGTAGGATTTGATATCACCTTTAAATCGCATTTCTCATGTTAAAATGACCACGAAACATGCTGTATAATAGATTATATATCTCTAAGATGAAGTCATATGAAAAAATATTATTTACAATGTTGATATAAATACGTGTCACGAATGCATGAGTTAAATACATCGGAAATATCGATTGGTTCCCGTCTGGAAAAGATTCAAGGAAATTTGTCCACGTAATTCCATTAGATGAACGCTCAAAGTTTTGACAGTCCAAAATTAAATATAGTCTTGATATTTTTTGTCGATGATATTAAATTAGGTTATCAGGTTTTCCTGTGTTATAATAAAATAGCCAGCCATAACAATTTTGTTGTCTTAGAGCCATTTCGAAATATTTTTCTCATGAGTAATTGTGGAGAACCACTTCCTTTTCTGGCTATCAGCCGCGATCAGTTTGCGCCTACGTTCGGCTTTAATTGACGCATTACCATTGTTTGCGTGGTTTAAATAATTAGCATAAATCCCGCACGTTGCACATTTACGCTGCTTTTTCGCCATATATGGTAAGGCATTCAACGCGGGCGTTTTGAATCGTGTACGAAAATTTATTTTTTCCCATAAGTTGCTTACGTATATTTGCGGATCTATTTCGGCCTAAGTCTCTTGTCGGATGTACGTAGCTTGCACTCACAAAACATGCTTTTTCTGATGAAACCATCGCCAGACGGCTTCTTTAAGGATGTTTTGAAATCCTGTGGGTATTCCTATAATATAATCGGATCGTCATTTTTGAGCATACCAACTTTGCGAGGGACATCTAGAATATTAACCTTTCGAGCAGAGGGTCAATTTTTAACATGCTTCCTGAAAAGATATTTATGAATCAGTCCAGTTTAAAATTAATCATCTTTGTTGCCCACGTCAACACGGATGTGCAGCTAATATGGCGTACAAGCAGAAAGTATTATTAATTGTCAGTTGTAGAAGGATGGCCGATAAGTTACGCACTTCAACTCAATTTCCTTATCTTCGAATCTACAAGACTACTGATATTTAATTAAATAAATTAACTTTTTTTTCACCCAGGCATTATCAATTCGTGCGCCGTTTGTCGCATGATAAATACCCAGTTCTTAAATCCCAGATGCTGGAGAAACATATTTTCCGCGAATGTTGTTCATTGAGAAATGTCTGTTGGCGTGATTTCACTCAGCACCAGTGATAAGGAAAAACAGGACTTTGCCCAAACAGTAGCGTGGGAAGCCTGGTTAAGTTAGCTTGTGAAAAAATGTTGAAAAACAACAAAATCGTTCTCAGAACTAATTCGGTCTTGTTAATACTTGCTCGCATTGATGTTTATCGAAAGTATCAGATCAGTAAGCATTTACTTTAGTGTTTTTGCTAAGGCTTATTTTAGGGTTTACATAAATATCTCAATACTTCCTAATCATTGTTGATTCCTCTAATCTCAGTTAAGCAGGGTAATAGCATAAGCTGACTTAACCAACTAAAGCCGGGCGAAATCTCAGTTGTCGACTTGACAAGGCTACCAGTGGCTGCCACTGGCACTAAAACTGCCTTAAAACAAGAGAAACCCGCTGCCTGAGGTAACCACCTCGTGAGATCTTTCCCTCGGGCTAATTGCTTCAGTGTAGGGCTGATTATGAGGTAATTGTTAATGTAGAACACCATGAAACTATATGGGAGGCTTTAGCGTGACGTCAAAGCGACCATTTTGATGTACCACTTCAAAGTTCCGCAATTTATCCCATGAAATTTATGCGTTTTCTTTTTAATTGTACACCATTATGGCGTACCTATGACGTAGGTCAGTGAGAACCATTTATAGAGTGTTCAGTATCAGAGCGGAACTTACAAGCGTTCGCAAATTGCAACTCAAATGAACAAAGCGGTCGAACAAACAAAACAAACTATTTTACCCAACCTGCTGTCGATGAACGAAAGGCATTTTAAAAAGTAGACGTGTTCGCGTGCTACCGAAGATGAGATCCCAAATGCGAGGTCTATGTTTTGTTCTCATGAATTCTTGCAGACATTGAGATAAGCTTTGTGTTAAAAGATGGCTTCTAAATCAAAAAATCGGCTGAAAATTACCATGCACGAATTTAATGCTATGTTCATGTCGGGTCGCACGTTAAACCTTCAGTTTACGGGGGGTATGTCGAGTACTTCACGGTCAAGGTGAACGAGAACCTCTCTGAAAGTATTACTCATAGCCAAGAATTCGCAGCGCGGTTTTCACAAATCCGCCGTTTCAATCATTAGCATAGGGTGCGCAATGCGGTGGGACTTGACCAGACTGGTTTGGGGGTTGACCTTTTGGGGGGAACAAATTAGATGCAAAGAGGTTATCCTGGATTGATATAGTTAATCTAATTCCATCTGGAATATATACGGAGCACACACATCATGTATTGTTCTATGAGATAAAAACTATTTAACTTCTTCCAGACAGTTCTTAGAAAACGAATTAAGTTCATGTAGTAATCGTATTGTAATTATTTACATTGTGTATAAGGGGAAGAAGGACGTGTAGCTTCTAAACCAAGGGAGTATATTCCCTAGTTAGGAATGCTGGAAACGTCAAACCCCTTCGCTGAAAATGATTATCTATCGTTCCCAATATATCATATCCACGTTTCGAAAATGCACATGAACAGACTTAGGTTTAAAAGTTCAATCGGACATAGCCACACCGGGGAAGATATGAGACAAATTTTAATTAAATTATAGTCAGAAATCCGGGCAATCAATGTTTTTTTTTATCTTCTAGTCCATCTACTGCGTCTGTGGCGGGAAGGTGGATTCTACATGTCTGGTTTTTACGCTAAAGGTGTGTTAATTCAGCTGTGCATAGTCAAAGATTTCCAAAGCTGTGCACACAATAGCCAACCTATAACTCGTCTTAACGTTGCAAAATATCTGATTTTCCTAAATGTAACTAACCAAATGGCTTTGAATATAAGATTATAACGTTCACTGGTATAGATGTTTACTTTTTCCATAAAGCTTTAGTTGTCAAATGATACTTTTTAAAGCGATTTAAAATGGCCAAACGCCATACGATTAAAAGTTTAGCCGGTATATAGACTGAAAAAACATTTTATTAACACCATTGGAGTTAATTTAAAAGCTATAGCTGTCTGGCTCATTTTGGACTGAATCGATTGAGATTTCCATAGGATCGTATTTGCGTGGGTTCGGTTCAAAATGACTCGTCTTGGACTTGGTGTATGTTTTAAGAAACGTTGCAAACGCTATCTCGACGAAAATTACCTTCTACTACAATTTTGTAATAAGAAACCAATTCTGTTCTAGAATTGAGCGATCTTCTTTGGCACTGAATCGTGTCAAAAATGGACTCGAAGGATGTTTTGAATGTCCTAAAATGGTTGCCGAAAGTGTTTCGTCATTCAGGACAATGATGATCGCAAGAATAGGAAATGGGGTCATTTGATCAGCTGTGAGATTTAATCTTTATTGCATCGAGAAGGTAAATATAAAGTTAGAGCTGTTTCGGTATATTTTGCTTTTAAATATATGCACCGTAAATGCAGCTACGCAACCATTTGACTGTTCTTAGGAGGTTGGTCCTTACCAAACCTCTACGAGTACGGTTATATTATGAAGAAAGGCGCTTCACATCGTAAATTATCAGTAAAACTGCCTCGCTTTGAGACGTGAAGGTAATATGTTCGTTTACTCCCAAAACAAACATGCAGCTACTGACTGACTGTCCGATGAGGACAAAACTCATTAGTTTAGCCTCAAAATCTCTTTGGTGTTCAGCCAAGATTTTAAGATTCTTTGTGAAGTAAGGAAAGGTTTATTGTGGATCTAGTCTATAGTCGGATTGACTAAATTTAGTCAATTCACGATTGCCTGTTTGGCACACGCAGAGAGTGCGAGGGACCGCATTTGAACCATTGTTCTGATCCAAACCTTCTAGACAGGACGAAATTTTCTCGACTGAAAAAGTTTATTTTACGAAGGTAAAAAATGAACTCCTTTTACAGCTGAGCAGGATATACAAATTTTGTCGGTTTAATGACCGTCCTCATAAGCTTAACATGTCCTTTCGATATTGTTAAAAGGTTTGTTTTATTTTAAGATTATATCTCATAAAAGCCCGAGTTTTATGGTCATAATTCAATTGAATTAATTGCATTACCAGTATAAATAAATGTAAAAAAAAGATACGGATCGCCCAGTAGGCTGAGCGAGGCGATGCAAACACGAAATTCTTGCTCGCAAAATTACGCTCGGGCAAGAACGGAAAACCAGCCCAGCGATTTACACAATGAAGTGATGGTTTCGCTAATGTTTTAATGGTTTTATTAGGTCATATTTCACTGTTTTGAACCTACACACATTGATTGAACCTACACACACTGGTCATTTAAACCTCCTGTGTGTTTTAAATACTTTTTAAGGTCGCTAACACCATTTGTGGTAAACATTATTGCAGTGCGCGAAAATTCCATAAAGTAGGTGATCTGTCTTTGCAGCGTGCTACAAGTGCGAGAAAAGAGGGTTTAAAATTCTGTCTGCATTTATCAAATTTGTCAGGGTTGTTTTTTTCGACTGATTTGCCAGTAATCTCCTGTTCTCAGCACGCAAATCTTGACCCGTCGGTCGAGGCTCGAATTTGCTCGATTTCCACATTGCAAAAATGAAGATCAGTTTACCTCGATTCGACAATGTATTAAAGGCTTTATAGTTTTTAAAAAGTGACCATCTTTGCAGATCACAAACGATTATATATACTTCATCTTGAAATTGAGCAGGTAGCTATATAATCCACTGAACACTTCATCAACACACCAGAAACACATAAGTGTTATAAGTCCATTTATGGGGAGAGATCATATGTGTGTTATTCCAAGCATTCTGGCTCATGCTAGTTCCGGTTTTAACCGTGCATGTATTTCTAAATAGAAAAGCGACTAGCAGAGATTTTTTCCTTCTCAGTAAAACGCAGTTATTGAGAATTATGCAAAAATCAGTGGGATTGCAAAGGTGAATTTTTTTAATTGCCTTCTCAACCGTAACCCCCGATCACCAACGTAATTCAACGCCGCAGAGTTGCGATTTTCCAAACATCCTATTTTGATGACTGACGGCCGTGCTGTGCAGTGGGATGTTTTTAAACCATTGTGTTTTCGCTGCGAATATAATGGCAAAACGTTAAAGCAGTAATAGCAAAACTTTAAATATAGATTTGTTTTTTCCCCGGAGCATTGTCTCACAGTGTCGTTTGGGCTCACAGCGAGTTATAACGCGATTAAACGTTAGCGGGCCCCGTCGCTTGCTGTGTGTGGAAGTTTTCGTACGTTTTTCGAATAATAATCAAACAATACCTGACCTTGCGCGCACCGCAGACTTTGCATGCCGAAAAAGCGGCAAAAATGGTTGCGTTTGAACGACTTCTCTGAAATAAAGGTTCTTCTCTTTGCGAATAACACTGACAGGCTCCGTCCGAATCGTTTTTCCTAAACGTAAATAAAGACGTTCTCAGCTGCCAAGTATCGCTTGAAAACATTCAGATCTACCGAACAGAAGTTTTTCCCGTTCAGAAATCGGGTCTACCTATCCTGCTAGGGGCTCATTTAATCTGGTTTTGTTGACGAAGAATACTATAATTGCCATAGGAATATTTGTGCGCGAACTCATACCTGAGCTTTGGTTTCCTTCATTCTTCGATTTCAAAGATTAATTTGTGAAGTTTATTCGCAATTTTTCGCGTCAACAATTCGCGTTACTTTTTTTCCTTTGTGCCAAAAGGTTATCGCATTCGTATTTTGTTATCGTGATGTTATTTAATCTGCTAAGCATACAGATCGCTTGCATTTTTCGCGAAACTGCGAGAAAAGCGTTCCTGCACGATTTCTAGCGTATTCGGAGAAGCGCGCAACGTTGCTGGTTAATTAGAATTTTTTGCGCACATTTGCATAAATTGCGCGAGATGAATTAGCATGTGCCGCGCAAATAAACTCCGTGGCTTTATCAATCAACTTGCGTGCTTGTTTAATTGTACGTGAAAAAAGCCGGAAGGGGGTTGTGCAGGTCGTACTCATAATTCTTATTCTGGTCGAGGAGTTAAGACTTATTGACGTTACACAATTCTTGATCTCCTGCGTATGTCATGAGACGCACCCGCGCATACCTCTGTGACACGGCAGGGGAAATACCAAGATATTAACGCAATGACATATTGAAATACCATTTGCCGCGCCTTGCCAAATCGGTACATATAAGAAGATAAGCGTTGCAAGGAAAACATCACAACAGACCAGCAAGTCGCAACGTGAGCATCACTTGCGCAAAGGATTTTGGAATTGTTATTACGAAGAACAGAGGACTATTGTAAGGTAATGTTAATTATACTTTATACTTATGTGCATTTACACTTGTTAACCGTGACTGGGTATACTTGGAAATAAAAATGCCTCGAACTTGGTGAATCGATTCACGTATCGTAATTACAAATATATATATATATACATACGAAACGAATTCGAACGAGCGAGATTTTTTTTCATCATCCTCTAATCATCTGCAGCCCAGCAATATGGTTAAAATTTTTCAAAGGTTCATAATATAACAATAACGTTACTACTGCGTCATACCCATGCAAGGTTTTTTCTTAGACACACTCGGTCTCTTAACACGCATGTTCTGTGAAAAAAATTTATAGGCAAATGAAGGTTTTTTAGTCTTCGATTTTGCGCGACTCATTTCCGAAGCAATCGTATTTCGTCATGATAAACATTGCGATTTGTCATTAAAAAAACACTCCGCGTCGTATTAATTTAGATATTCTGGTAAGTTCCACGTAATTTCTGGTGAAGCTCCGTATCGGACTTCATACACACACCCTAAACAAACACTAAATGCCTTGCGATGCAATCGGAAGCGGTTTTCGGAAACGGTTTGTTAAATTATTAAACAGCAATTTATGGAGCCCTTTGGCTGACGCGCGTCTGAATACAACAATACGGCTAAAAATAACCTTGAAAACAAATTGCTGGGCATATTTCAATCCGCCCGAATGACCGAATCGTTCGCCGCTATATAGAGAGGAAACGCCATCACATGTACAGCAATATAAATACGTTCTACCTAGATAATTTATATAACGTAGTATTGACGTATTTGTACCAGACAATCTTTATTATAAAGTGCCAATTACGAGAGGTAAAATGAAAATAACCACGAGTGCCGAAAGATTTTATTAATTTTCCTGAGATTTGTACAATGCAAAAGCACACAGGGTGTACGACATAACCGCAAAAACCGCAAAATTTTCTGGAACTGCAATTATGCCGTAGCATATGTACCAGCAATTAAGCGATTTAAGTCATTCAAAGCTTGAAAGTGTTCACACTTACCGAAAAGCAAGCACACGGAAGTGTCAAGGACTTCACAAAGCCACGAGAAATTGCTGGTTGCGCAAATGATACAATCATACAAACCCAATTTGTGTACGATGGCTGATTCGCCTCATTGTATATTTCATCGAAGATGTAGCACTTTAATGGTCGCCTTGCTGTGAGTGTGACCAGTCAATGCTTTGTCCCGCATATACGATTTGAACCGTCGGCTATAAAATAACCATTGACTATATAATGGACCAGGGTCATTTCTAATTCATTTTGTGTGTGAGAGACTGATTGCCTGATCAACTCGCTAGAGCGGGGGAGCATATATGTGCGTTGAGGCCATTTGTCCATTGAGGCTTTTAAAAGTCGACTAAAACCCAATTAAGAGCAATGATGGCCTCAAGTGCGCTTTCGAAAGAATGTTTTGCGCCTACTTTGTGATTCATTGTTGAAATTTCAAGCATGTTTGATTGGTTCACGCAGAGATTCCCGGCAATGCACGTTTTTAAGAAAATACTACATTGTTGATATTCGTTTGAGCCGTAAGTGGTAGCCACCTTGGAACATTGCTTACAAACATTCGAAGTAATGAAAACGACTGTGAAGTTCTCGCAGAACAGGTCAGATAACTGCGTGAATGATCAAGCTTGATAAATTAGCTATAGGTCAAGAGTAATTTTTTCACTGTTGTAGATGCAAACACATAAGTCATAAGTGAACTCAAGTGCTTAGTGGGTTGACTTTTCTTTCAATATACTGTCAGAGCTTGCGAGAAACCCGAAGGAGCATTCCTCTGATAAAAAAGTTTTTGACAGGCTGTATGCGCTGATTAACTAAGTACTTGATGACGTCTTATGCAATACAATATGCGTTGTTAATTTGGGAGATTATGAATTTCATCTATACATTCTTGTCTCGATTATGCAGCGATACCAAACATAGTTCAAGCAGAGACAAGTCTATCAAAATAGAGTGTTTTTAATTGCTTCGTATTCTGGAACTTTCTGCAGGATTGTGGGCCTATGTATACTGATAGAAAAACTCACCCAAACCCGGTGGTCCAACTCAAGTGGTATTTTACATAAGTGGATATGTTGGGGGGGGGGGAGATTTATATAATCGTATGGGAATATGAAACTGAAGTGATGGCTTATGCGCTATTTTTCATTTTAATCTGTTTACAACAAAGAGCTTGCGGTAGTCAAAAGTAAACATATTTTAAGTGTTTTGCGATAACTCTAAGTAAAGAAATTGAGCAAAATCATTAGCTCATAAATATTGCAAACATTACGTACGTGCACGTGCGGTTTAAATGCATGTAAAAAGCAAATTGAAGCGTCATTCTTTTCGCTAATATTGTGTACGTTCTCTCTTCCAGTTCTACAGCAAAAATGAAGGGGATTATTTTGTTTGTTGCTGTTTTCTGCTGTATCCAAGGCAACACATTTGCAGCATTAAAAAGCGGAAAGAATGGAGGTAATAAGCATACTCTTCACATACTTACAAATCCAATTTTAAACTGCGTCCTATAATGTTGAATGATGACGCATTCTTTCGTGCTATATCTGAGGACAAACCCTAAGCTTTTTTTGGAAAGACCTTTGCTTTATAAGAACCCTTTTGAAATATACAACAGTGTTTATACAGAATAGCATTCAGTCGTTCAACCGACAATTTTATTTTTTTAAGCATGCACCCAGGAACCGAGGGATATTTTTCTCGTGGTGGACGGATCAGCAAGCATCGGCATCTCACAGTTCGAAAGCGTGAGGCAGTTCATTCTCCAACTGATCAAAGCTGTTCAAGTGCACGAGGATTATACTCATTTCGGCCTTTTGCAATTCAGCTCAGACGATAAGACAAAGGTTGAGTTTGAACTCGACTATTCTCATAAATCAAACGTGTTGTTAGACAAAGTGCGCAGTCTGAAGTACCAAAGTGGTACTGCAACAAAAACTGGCTCCGCTTTAGATATTGTGGAGAGAGAGGTTGGTTTAAAAGATTCGTTTTATAATAATAATTATTGTTGATTGATTCATTGGTTGATTGATTGAGTGATATTAAGATTAAAAGTTATGGATTAAAAGCTATCGATGATATTAAGATTAAAAGTTATCAATATTATCGATTGGTTCGTAAAACATAATATGAATATTGATAGTATTCATTGATTATGGGTAATAATATTGATGGTAATGATATTGATTGAACATAATATTGATTATTGATTATAATACTAATAATGATAGTATTGATTGATTAGACATAACATTTAGAGTGATAGTATCGATTGATGGAAGTATATTTTGAACCAATTTCAATATAAAGTATTGAATAAATAGTCAAACATAATAATACAAATAGTTGTACTGATTTTTTGATTGATTATTTGATTGATTAGACGTAACAGCACTGATGATAATTTCAATCATTTCCCAGGTTTTCACCCCTGAAGCCGATGATCGTCCCAATGTCCCAGATTACCTCATAATATTCACTGACGGTCAGGCCACAGACAGAAGACGAGCTTACAGGGTTTCAGAGAAGCTGAAGCGGAAAGGAGTAAAAATTGTAGCTATTGGTGCTGGTAGGGATAAGTTTAATTTCTTGAAACAACTGGAAGAGATCGCAAGTAGCCCTTCTGACGTGTGGATGGCCGATTTTGATAACCTGAACGAAATTGTTGGTGTCATTGTAAAGGATGTTGTGAACGAAATTTGCCCTGAACCTCCCCCGGACTATAGTAAGTGTTTTTTTAATACCTGAACGTCATGGACACTGTTTAGGAGGAGCAGGGATGGGATGTAGACTCACACTGTGGGGGTAGTGGTGTGCAATATTGTCGCATCAGTATATTAACACTATGGGGGTATGGGTGTACAAAATTGTCGCTATAACATGGAAAGACATCTGTGTGTGAACATGGAAAAGTAGTTAAATGCTCAGTTTCAACTCATTGTCACTGCGTGTCTGTAACATATAGTTCAGTCTGTCAGTAACTGTTAGACATCTATACAACTTTTAATGTTTGTTGATCAACTTTCACTATGCAGAATTCCTAGTTCCTACAACGATTTCCTTCTTTTTGTAGCTAAAACGATCTGTTCACAAGAGCCTCGGGACGTATTTCTTGTCGTGGACGGATCCCTGAGCATCGGACCAACTCAGTTTGAAAAGATACGAGTTTTCCTTACGAAACTCGTGAAGGCGGTTGTTGTTAATCCAAACATGACTCATTTTGGGCTACTGCAGTTCAGCAGCATACGAAAAACAAGAGTAGAATTCACGCTGGATTCATTACACGGGAAGCAACATTTTGAATCGTATCAAGTATTTAAGATACCAAGAAGGCACGAGTACTTACACTGGAAACGCTCTGAAAATTGTCGAGCAGGAGGTTGGTATTTGATCAACTTATATGAGTTCTATCTTTTGTTTTACCTGTTCTATCTTTATGAATTACGTAAAAATGTTGTAATTATGTTTAGTTATAAGAGCTGCATGTAGCTCTGACGTATATTTGAAACCGAAGTAAAGTATATATCAAGAGATATCCAGTTGTTTCAACTGAGATATGGATTCCGCCATTTCAAATCACCTGTTGGCAATTAATCTCAAAAATAGACTTCTATTTCGACAAGGCTAAAAAATTTTGCTATTTTTGTAGCGAATTAATCGTATCAATCAAGCAAACTGACATATTTTCCTTTTAAGGTGTTCACGGTGGAGGGCGACGACCGTCCGGAGGTCGACGACATTCTCATCGTTTTCACGGATGGCGCAACACGTGACCAACGCGTGGCCGTGAGGCATGCGGATAGAATGAAAAAGAGAAACGTGCACATCATAGGAATTGCAGCCGGGCCGAAGCGTCATGAATTTAAGGACCAAGTCGAACAGATTGCAAGCAGTCCTGAGGATGTGTACATGGTAGAGTTTGATGATTTGGAAAACATGCTCTACAGGCTGGTGAATAACGTGTGCAAAGCACCGCCGAGTAAGTATACAAGTCGCCTGGCTGTTTAAACTTCTTTGAAAACATATCAAAGCATGTTTTCGTGAGAACAATGAACTAAATACTCACACGGGACATGAATTTGTCCACAATACAAATCTATTTGTGATCAATTTGTTGTGTAAACATGCCGCCGATTATTCTAAATAAACACCTTCATATTCACTGACATTTTCTTTATAATTTCTAGCAACCTTACCTCCCACCACAACGCCTGAACCTACAACCACCCCTGAACCCACGACCACCCCTGAACCCACGACGACCCCCGAACCCACGACGACCCCCGAACCAACAACGCTACCCCCAACCCCCCCTCCTCCGATATGCCATGATAAAATGAAACGCGACGTACTCTTTCTGCTTGACTTCCCGCGACAAGTCAGAAAGAAGAGATTCCTGTTGTTCAAGAAGTACATGAAAAAACTCATCGAGCATATGCCAATCGAAGATGGACGCTTCATGGTTGGAATTATGCAAGTCGGTGATGAGGTGGAGCCCAGCATGTACTTGAAGTTCTCAAAGTATTTGAGTCGAAATATGTTAAAGTACAAGATTAACAGAATGAAAAGATCTGGGGCAAAATACAGTTTCAATGTTGCTGCTTTCCGCCAAGCTGGTTATGAGGTAAGTCTGTTGTGTCATTTCACTGTGGACTCATTCTTTGAGCGGTCAAACAATGGAAATCAGTTTGAATTAAAATGGGGTATTTTGTTAAGAATATAGCGGTGAAACCGCATTTTCCGTGCTAGGAAGTGTAAATAACAACATACGTGAATGCAGAGTTCTTGAAACACTCTAAAATATCAGTAATCTTTCTGTACCGAAATACAACAGGACCGGTCTCACCGTTTTTAACGTATAAAGGGAAGCGCTCAAAGATTGAAGAATTAAATACTGTTTTTTTTTGGTCATACAGAGTGAATAATGCATGTGTCGCCGGTTTAACTAAGTGAAAAACATAATTGTTGTATTTCTACTAAATTTTCATAAGCTACCGATTTCTTCGAGGGTCTTAAATGCAATATAGAAGTCTCATAAGAACCATTAAACTAGGTTTCAAAAACTCTAAAATTTCTGTCTTTCTAGTTTCATAGAATGAACTACATGTATGGTCGAGCAAATGTCGAAGACGTCCTCATCTTGGTAACCACGAGGTCTTTAAGAGAACGTCCACATTGGGACAGCGACCTCACAAGAGCTAAAAAGGAAGTTGTCACCTTCCGACAAATGGGTGTGCAGGTCATAACGATTGCTTTGGGAGGGGAACGTTTCCGTATCTCAATGCAAATGCAACAAATGGCCAGTCATCAAGAAAAAATCATTCTTAGTAGCTACAAGAAGTTAGTAAAAGGGGATTCAAAAGTAAACGATGTGATGGAAGGAGTCTGTCCTCCGAATGATGCTCTTCGAGGTGGGTTATTAAATATCTTATTTTTGATTTTCTCCTGTGTTAGCACTGGATTAAGTTGATTAAGCACTGGATTAAGTTGATTAAGCACTGGAATAAGTTGATTAAGCACTGGATTAAGTTGATTAAGCACTGGATTAAGTTGACGTCATTCTTATTGGACCTCTAGGAAGAACAGTTTAGAACTGATAGAGCTATCCAGTACAAATAAAGTTAGTTTAGTTTAGGTTTCCTCCTGTAGTAACACTGGATCAAGAAGAGATGATCCTTACTGGACCTCTAGGAAAAACAGTTTAGAACTGATAGAGCTATCCAGTATAAATAAAGTTAGTTTAGTCTAGGTTTCCTCCTGTAGTAACACTGGATCAATAAGAGATGATCCTTACAGGATCTCTAGGAAGAACAGTTTAGAACTGATAGAGCTATCCAGTATAAATAAAGTTAGTTTAGTTTAGGTTTCCTCCTGTAGTAACACTGGATCAAGAAGAGATGATCCTTACTGGACCTCTAGGAAGAACAGTTCAGAACTGATAGAGCTATCCAGTATAAATAAAGTTAGTTTAGTTTAGGTTTCTTCCTGTAGTAACACTGGATCAAGAAGAGATGATCCTTACTGGACCTGTAGGAAGTGTTGTTCAGAACTGATAGAGCTATCCAGTATAAATAAAAAATAGTTATCGTGAAAGATCTCTGATATTGCAAGGTGATGTTTATTCATTTTGTTTAGAACGCATACTAATGATTTTATCCTTCAATCTTTAGCGACACAACCTCCTAGTCCTGATTGTCGCCGAACACCTCACGATATCTTCTTTGTCGTCGACGGATCCGCCAGCATCAAATCTGAAAACTTTGTCCACGTACGAAAATTCCTTATGGATCTCCTCATGCTTCTTCGTGTGGGAATTTCAGATATCCACATAGGACTTCAGCAGTTCAGCCAGGTCGACAAGACGGAGTTCTTATTGAACTTGGATAAGTATTCCGCAGAAGAGCAGATGCGTGTGGTGGACACCATGAAATACCAGATGGGGAGAAGAACCATGACTGGTGATGCCTTGACTAGGGTCGCAAATAAGGTTGGTGCTGTTTCTAAACAGTCAAAGCGGTGTTACACTGTATATTTTTTCACGCAACTGAAATATATTTCTACTCTTTGAGAGATGTAGATTTGGCAACTATGAAACTTTTGTGTTTATCGCACTCCATGCACGTTTCTTACAGTCACATTTTAAAGACTCTTCACTGATTTACATCTCTTAAAAGTAGAATGGCATTGCAAGTGGTTGCGAGAATAATTGCACCTTGTTACACGGGCTTTAAAACAAAAAGCCTGAATTCGAGTGGGAATTATCTTTCGCTGCATGCATTTGCAGACAATCATTTTTCATTTCCTAATTCTGTCGTGTGTTTACCATGATTTAAAACTGACTTTCTTTCGCAAAATGTTTGTAGGTGTTCACCGGTGATCCGTTAGATGGAGATAGGCCTGGGGTCAAGGATGTCCTGATTATATTCACCGATGGCAATGCGCATGATCTGCGCGTTGCATTGAGACAGGCTGAGATTATAAAATCACGTGGCGTCCGCGTGGTTACCATCGGGGCCGGTGTCAGAAAGGACGTGAGGAGATTCGAGGACGAGCTGAAACAAATGTGCACGAATCCGGAGGAAGATTTCTTGATGGTCGATTTTGAAAACCTCAGTGGGTTCGCAAACGAGGCGTTCCCGTTGATTTGTAGAGAGGAGAAGAAGAAGAAGAAGTTGTGAGGTGGAGAGAAGGAGAGCGTTCTGATATATGGCTGTAGGTCCGACGGATCTGGTACATGCCGATATCAGAGATTGTGAGAAGAAACATAGCGGAGTTTGTCCACTGTAATTTAATATAATATGTTGAAAGAACAGCGAAAGACATCAAATAGACTGTATATTTATTGACGTAGCTAACGGTATCATATTAGAGAGAAGAATTAAGCTAGCTGGTAGAGCGATATTGAACCGTTTCCCAAAAGTAGAGAGTTCACTAGCGAACAATTTAAGTGCGAATTTGAAAGCTTGTTTCATGCTTGTCTTTATCTTCTCCATTACTGGCGCGCAGTACAAAGCAGTGGTTTGGTGTACTGATATCGTGCTTTGATAAGATTAGTGTGAATTAGTCTTATGGTATGGACTATTCAGGTTTTGTACAAATTGTTTTTAGAAAGAAAAGAGTTTCTATATCAAAAGCCATAGTCGTCTTCTGTCTTTGTTGAGCAGGCTATAGCTCGAGGGGCCTGTATTGCTGAAAAAAGTCCACTTGCATGGATAACTACCCTTTTATTTAAAAAATTAAAACCGTAGATGCAGAATTCGTATCTGTTTTGACTGAAACGAGCAGAGTAACAGACTTTATGTAAAAATTGGGCATTGCTTCTTTTGGTTTTCTTCGCCAGCGCACGATTGCAAATGTCTACGCTGGAGAAAATGTTTTAATTAAAATGACCTTCAGCACGAGCGAGAATCATCGGAATTTCCGATAAAATATTTTACGAATGATCTGCAATCCTGGCAGAAACTTCCAGATGCTGCTGGGCAGGCAACCTTGTGTTGCTGACAGCATATAACAACATCTCCTGCTGGGTTTGAAAGATCAGCCCTGAGACAAATGAGCTGTTATTGAGCTATTTTGGAGTGTGAGCATATGTCACTCGTATTGATTTTGAATATTTTATAACCATGCACACATTCCTTTCAACTCTGCAGTTTTCCAGAAGTGCTTACTCCCATCGTGCGAATAAATTCTTCATATTCAGTCTCGCATCACAGTCGCCGGAGTGAGTCGACCTTCTCGAAGCAAATTGAAAAATTATAGCTTGAAATCTTGGCTGTCATTTTGTGAACATGCAAATTTTTCTGCAACTGGATTCAAGCGAATTACTCTATTTTTTAAGGTCATTATAGTGCATTCATCAGCCAAATAATATTTGAATTATTTCGTAAAATCTTCGTACAATTGTCAGGAGATTACGAATGATTTTCAAATGCAATGAAAAAGCAGCGGGCATTTTTTATTTCTGTGTACATATAAGCATCTTCAATGAAATCCTTGTCTGTGAACTGTAGTTGAAACAACCCACTTTGCATGAATTGAATTCATCGAGACAGTATAGACGATAAGTTGTATCGATTGGTTAGTCATTGACTCATTGTTTCAAATACACTCGACCCATGGCAAAACGTGACGTTTTCAAAAAACAAGCACAGATACTCAAATTCTCAAAAGGCACTACAGATGCTCAGATGCGCATTATAAGCCTAGATTTTAAACGCCTGTGTCCAGAAAGTCAATATATACATGCTGTAACTATACACCTTCACTTGACCGCCGTTAGCTGCTTTGGAAACATCGGTGACCGATTTTTAATTAAATATACTGAGTTATTACTTCAACAGGGGTTCAAACAGTCTAGTTTATTATGTGATTAATCTGAAACAGGAGGGAGTCGTTTAGAAATACATGCCATGAACGGTGTTCAATTAAATTGATATATCACAACGTCAAGAATTCTAATACTCGGCCTTGGCTCGTTTTCCTTCATTCGTCACGGGGAACCTTGTACCGTTGGTAAACAATGCCACAATGTTCTATTGCGTGTTGTTTAGAATAATTGGTCTGTGTGAAATAAAACAGCTGGAACGAAATGATATATTTCCTTAATTTATTCTGGGAGATCTCTCCCTAAAGGTCAAACACCGCTGATCTAAAACTCTGTTGATCTAACGCTTGGCAGAGGAAGACACCTAAACTAATACTTCATTACTTCAATAGTTTATCCCGGAAATCGTATCTAAAACTAGCTTATATTGGATAGTTCTATCAGTTCTAAACTGTTCTTTCTGGAGGTCTAGTAAGGATCATCTCTTATTGATCCATGCAGTGTTTCTACAGGAGGAAACCTAAACTAACTAACTTTATTTATACTGGATAGCTCTAAAAGTTCTAAACTGTTCTTCCTAGAGGTCCAGTAAGGATAATCTTTTATTAATCCAGTGTTACTACAGGATGAAACCTAAACTAAACTAACTTTATTTATACTGGATAGGTCTATCAGTTCTAAACTATTCTTCCTAGAGGTCCAGTAAGGATCATGTCTTATTGATGCAGTGTTACTACAGGACGAACTACAGAGTCTAGACTCTGTGTCTCTGTCAGTTCGAATGGGATTATTTCTTAATTGTTGTCCCCATATATAGCATTGTTTAACTAGACAACAACTCATCAGCTCTAATCTTTTCTTCCTAGGCATGATCAATGTGAAATGATAATTATCATGTTGATTAAAACCAACCAAGGCATCCACGACCCACTGTGGACGCCGATGTGGTTATTGCGATTCGCCTTGTCACCATTGCTGAGCTTGAGATTAGGCCTACGAAGCAGGTGATGTGATAAATAGACGTTTCTCAGCTGATAAATAAATCGATATTTCGTGTAATTTATGAAATGATTCAGAAGCTAATTCGTTATTAGTAATAGTGCATGAACTCAGGTGTCTATGAAATGAATATTGTGAATATCACTTTAAACGCCAGATCATTGGCACAGATATATATAGAAGGGGCTATAGTCTAAATTCCGAAATTATTTACTCGAACCGTCAAATCAATTACTCGAACCGTCTTGACCTATAGTAGCTCAGTTGAAAGAGCATTGGACCAGCAAACCAAAGGGCATGCGGATTGGATTCCCACCGTGGTCAAGCTAATTTTTCCGCTTATCCGGTTGATGATCATGATCGATGTTACATGAGTAGCATCTTCTTGATATTCAGGCTCATTATTCTCAGAATAGGTGATATTTTGGGCGATGATCACTGCTCTTAACCCGTTTCTCAGAATCTTTCAAATCTTTCGCGACAAGTTAAGTGTTTTACAAAGGCGTGATTATATAATTGCTCTAGTAATGCATCATTGTGTAGGTTTCAAGGAATCCTGAAATCACACGCCTTCTTTTCTGTCTTCCGAATGACAAAACAACCCGAATTAGATTCAGGAATTAGATCCATACATATGTCCATATTTGTGCAACTAGTAATTACTTTTTTAATACTTTCTTTTTTAAATTAGTGTGGGTGCGTCTGAGTGTTGTAATTAGTTCAATTTCTAGCACATTTTCCTCCAACGCTATCTTGAAGTATTAGCGAGCTTGAGATTCATCACGTAGACTAATGTGACAATCACCCACAGATGTTATAGCGTTAGAAATCCGCTTTTGTGTTGTTATAGACACGATTTTACTTTGTTTACTAACGAGTGACTATGATCTTCAGCCCTGTAATAAAATTGTGTGTATGACGATCCGTGCTAGGGGGTGAACACTGAACACCATACATCAACTCCCAAATAACCGGTATTTTTTGTCCGTACACCAGTATATATGTATACCCAAATTTCTTGCATGATAATTCGATAAGAAATATCAAAGACTTGAGAAGTTCGCTGTTAAATGCACTATTATGCTGGCAATAACAACCACCAGCAATTGAAGGTTCTATAGGATTATTATAAGATAGCAAATACTGGTATCCATTAAGCTCGTCATTATTTTGCTAATGACGACATCTTGGTTAACGGAATTGATTTAGAATATTATGTTTCAGTTTTCAGACTTGTAATGAGAGGGACGGCAGCTAGTATGATTCTGACCAGGTTTTTGTCTCTTTGCTTGTTTGAGTAGTATATATGTCTTTCATCTCTGTGACTGAGGTTTGATTTCTGTAATATGCAGTTGTGTGATTATAATTTCACCTCAGTCACATGTGAGAAGATTTCTTTCAGTTTTACTCTACCAAACACAGTGGTTAGTACATGTGTATTTGGTCTCTGTTACTGAGGTTTGATTCCTGTAATATGACATGTGAGAAGAATGCTTCCAGTTTTGACACTAAACACATGTGTATATTAGATTGTAAGTCACGTAAGTATTTAATACTGCATGTATATAATTTCACGTATTATAAATACTTACGTGATGCACCTGCAATCTAACTTGATGTCACCATGCAAACTTACAAGAATAATATAAACAAACACATGTGCCTTTCATTTCTGGAAGCTGTCTGATTATTGGGTTATATTTTCAAAACACCAATGCGGTTAACTTATGACCATGCATGGATGGACGTTTTAATTTGTCTTAACCACAATTTTCTATAAGAAATTAGAAACAGCTCTTTGAAAACAGCTGTTTTAAACCAGAATCGTTTTATTGACCAAATACCTTATCGATTTATACTGACGAGCTGTTTTAAGCTAGAGCTGTTAGAGTTACGTTCAGCAATTCCTGTTATTATAGGTTGTCGTTTAAGTTGATGCAAGATAAATGGAATGAAATAGATTGTGACATCTGTCAGTAAAACTTTGGATCTTTCGCGACAAAAAAAGAGCTATATTGTCTTTAACAAACCACAAGTAATAGATCCATTTAATTTCTGCTTGCAACTAATTTGTTTTCGGAAGGTCTTTGTTTTCCTACTGTGCAAGGCACGGTTGTTAGGGCGTCACGGCTAGACAGCGACCACCCTCTAGCACCATCACAATCATGAATAGTGTACAACTAGTTTCAATATTGATTTTATCTTGCCAAATTCAACCAAGACAATTGTATCCTTTTAAAGTCTCATTCCTCAAATATCTCAACACAAATCTTCTGTACGTGATCATGATCCCATGTCCCACGCTCTATGGCCAACGCTGCTTGCATGTTTTCATACTTTTATGTGTTTGTTTTTATTTGTATGGCATATTTGTCACCGCCTGCAGTGAACATCTAATATTAGTCGCAAAGGTAGATTTATCTCATATATATTTGGTAACAATACCGTCGTTACACAAAGCAGTATCGACACAGTTCGTTGTACGTGTTTGTGTCTGCGCGTTTCATTCTCCGCTGACAAGAGGATTAAAGGGATCATATCAAGGCGAATAATAGGTAATCTAAAAAAAGAGGTGCATTACCCTCTCAACCTACACAATTTGATTCGTAGCTGTATATAAATAGCGCTCGCTTGTTATCAAATCATTTGTAGCAAGTTTGTAAACAGTTTGCAAACAAAGTTGCTAATTTGTCAAGCTGTTGATGCATGCAAATCGCGGTGTCTCATTATTGTAACAGAGCTGTCGAATTACAGAAGGTGACAAGCTAAGGTATACCGTATAGCTTTTAGCTCTTCTTGTGTATCACGATGAAAGAGTTTTCTGATATTTTCAACGGGCTAGGAGAAAAAAAAAACAGGAGTTGTGATTTGTTTTGAAATCTGTATAGGCAAGGTCTCTATGCTAAT